GGACTCTGAAAATACATTAAATGAATAATGCACTTTTTAATAATATTAACATTTAACTTGGTGTATTTAAAATACAAAATATACAATGAAAAAAACTTACATTACAGACTTGTAGTTAGCGGTCTACCTGAAATTCCGAAATAGAAGGCTTGCGTTTTCGCGATTGTTGATACTAAGAAGGTCTGCTTAATTAAAATATTATGGTATAAACGTTAATGGCGCAAGATTTGTTTCGTTTATAAATTGTCACTATTATGATACTGTCTGCAACACGAATGTAAATAACTGTATACTGCTTATACTGTATTAATCAGAGTAAATACATCAGACAACTTATCGTAAGGTTAAATAGTATATTAAGCGTTAAATAAGACAGGCTTCTACCTAGAAACATGTTGAGACTTATGAAAATAAGTCGAGTAGTAAGTTACAATGGAGAATCTCCGAGTCTTTCGGGTAAAACGACTTGAGAGCGAGTTTCGTTAGCAGACGTTTCTGCACAGTCATTATATCAAACATATTACCTCAGATAGTTACCATTATTGGGGAAAGACATTGATCGCGTAATGAAACGATGATGTAATTTATCTCTTTGTCCGTTCTGTTATGTGCGTGATAGTCGATTATAAGCCAAATTGGATTGCATGCACATACGATCAGAATTGGTTGTTCTGTGAATGTGGCCAATTATATGCAGAAGGGATTCGTTTAATAATGACAAAAGATGCGCAATCACATGCATTGAATGGTGTAATAATGAGCTGTCGTTGCATCAAAAGCTTATGACATCACAATAATGACTGTAACAATCATTTATTTAATGCAGAACTTGATGCAAAATACGAAAATTTTACATTGACAGCTGTTAAAGACATTTGTAAAAGGAAAAAGGTATTGGAACCCAACATAATTATCTCATAATATAATAGGCGTACACCGACTATTCAGAACCTTTTGGCTTTCAATGATTTATATAATAAATAATTGTTCGCTGTTCTCAAGAAAGAACCGGGAGATAAAGTTTTTTTTTTACTTAATACGTGAGATGAACTTTTCATTTTCCAATCGGGGGGGGGTTCTTCTGTTCCCGTTTTGGATAGTACAAACCCAGTCACCACCGGTTATAAATTGTTTGTTTAGCAAATTACATAAAGTATACGTCAATTCACCATCCCTTATTTTTCAAGATTACCGAATATTTCAATCGTAAACAACAAACTATTACTATTGCGTAACATTGGATCGAGGCTTGAGGGTGGGGGTGCATTCAGTTATATTGGTGGCGCAGAAACGCCATTAGAAGAACCGCATCATGATTATAAATCGTAGCCGGGAGAACCTTTATCGAATGTCTCGTTTTGGATACCAACACCACTATTAATGCATGTCAGACGGTTGCAACCTTGGGGTTAACCAGGGAATCGGACCACGTTTGTTTCGGGCGATTAATTTTCCAGAACCCCATGCGTGTATATCGTCACTTTTAGAATAATAAAACGTCACATGCCAAATTTAATCTCCCCTTTGTCTGCCTATACAATACAGCCAATTATAAAAGGAACGAAAATTTTCGAGTGTTATTTTGGTACTGACAACAACTACCTGAATCATAATGAGAATAAACTATCGAACACGAACAGTAAATCTACTTATTATCTTGATACTTTTACTTACACATATAAATGCTGTCTTGTCAAAAGGCGGCGGAGGCGGCAGAGGAGGGGGAGGGGGAGGTAAAGGAGGAAGTAGTGGAAGTAGCGGAAGTAGTGGAAGTAGTGGAAGTAGTGGAAGTAGAGGAATACCGTCCAGGGGGTATCGAGGGGGACGTTCATGGACATTTTTCTACTACACAACTGACGGTCATCGATCGTGTGGTAATTGGTGTATTGTGACTATTGTCATCATCTCTCTCATTATTTTAACCGCACTGCTGTGCTGTATAAGTCATTGCTGGCGACGGCGCTCCGTGAAACGCCGAAATATAACATCAAAGCAGCCCGTATAAATCAAGGCAAACACTTTTATTCACATACACACAAAACGATGTATAACATATACGGGCGAAGACACTGCACATGAACATTACCGGAGTATTGCTTTTCACGAAAAATCGATCAACTGTTAGAAGAATGCCTTCGTACAACGAGGCTCAATAACTAACATGCGACTGAACACTATGATGTATTCCATTATTATCATGCATCACCCCTTTAAGTCAATGTCCCGACGTTTTAAAAAGACAGTGGGTTTATAATGACTCGGATATGCATGTAACGGAAATAGTAAGCAAAATAATCCATTTACAAATAACGTGTGAATTTTTACAATAATTAATAAATAGTCAACTGGGTTTCCCAGACTTTAGAATAAAATCTAAAAAATTTTAGTATTAGGTAACATTCCAGTATTAGTGTTACACACCTGACTAATTTTAAATAACAAACGTTTTTGATCACTTGTCCATCCGGCGAACGCAAGGTCCAAATAAAGATTTATCTGAACGCCTTTGAAGATCAACTTATTAATACAGGAAATTTAGAGCGTGCAAAAAATCACACAATGTTGCTTTTTTCACTGTTGCTTTTCAGTCCAGGCCAATCAGTCACACCAGGCAAAACATGTGGATGTGTATCATTTCCAACTGCTTCTCATTTATCGAAAAGTATCTTACCACAATATTGTTCAACTGTTGACCAAGCAAATATAAATAAGGTGAGGAACAATTTTCATTCATATCAGCGAGGAAATTAAGTCAAATTCTCATATTAATATGCAAATACGATAATTTCATTTAGTTTCGACACGTATGACGTGACAGTGCGTCGTCGTATTAATTCTTTCTCCAAAAATTCGAGGGGAAGAACTTGTATAGCACGCTTAGATATAAAAAGCTAATAGTTTTCCGATTGCTCTTACAAGTATAAATGTTCAACCTTTAATGCTATGGTCGCATTCAAAGAAAATGGAATTTATTACAAGTAGTCATCATTCCGATAACAATGAAAATAAGCAAATGAGAGCTGATGAAAGAGGCTGTTTATGTTACTGAATAACAAAGAGTTGCTTGTATATTCGTGGGAATTGCGGTTGTCTGTTTTCGGAGATATACGGTAATCACCCGGAGGTGAATCTAGATCGTATAGGTCATGTCGCAACACTGCAGTGTGAAGTTGAACAAATGATTAGAAGTACTGGCCGTACTTTTTGTAGCAGTTCTTTACTTACCCCGGTGATAACTAGATCGTTAGCATAGCGTTCCTTTTTCGAAGCTCAGGAGATTGAGAATAGACAAACAGATTGGTTGTCAACAATGGTATTCTATAGTAACTATTACTATAGACTTTTTAGTTAGATTATTGCATTATATTGAGTGGCCAACATATAGTGAGATAGGCAACCAAAATAAACTGATAATAGCATATTTACATTACTGTTGTGCTTATCTTTCAGTATGCTCCATATAATCGATTTTCTACGGTAACGTATTTTTCCGACTAAAGTACCCCGAGTAAAAAAGCCATCGAGCAGATAAATGATCTCTCATGCAAAGACCCCCTAATTTTTCTTTTTATAAAAGGTGCTGAGTAAAATGTGTATTCTACATATTCTCATGTATCAGTGTCTCCCAAACACACCACGAGTGACGAACCTTATCACTTGGTCGTGCTCTGCGAACAGTTTTATTTCTTGTCATGATGTCTAGCTGACGAGAATGCTGCCAACCAATTTCGTATATATGTACAGTCAACTCAAAATCGGGTCCGTCGACTGTGCACCACATAAGGAGGATACATAAAGCCCCTACATCAACGTATCTCCTTACATCAAAATACAGATCTTGCATTAGGTTTTGCATTAGGGTTTTGCATTAATAGAAGTTTCCTTTAAAGGAAATTATCATATAGCTCTGGTAACGACATTTATCACCACTTTTACGGTTGATTCATATTAGTCTTAACCCAGTTAATTGTTTATCTACAATTACAGAACTATTGTGAGGAGATAAAAGGAGTGAATTAAACTATAAACAATACTGTGTTGTGCAAAGCCTAATTGTTAATCTCAAACTTATTATTATTGTTCTTCGATCAGAAAATTCAATCGCAATTACAATATATAATTTTAGATATTGTGTTAATAATAGTTACACGGTATGCTGTATACATTTAGAGAGATATCTATATACAGTAGACAAGTTCATTTATTTACTAAGTAGAGAGGTTTTGCACTTATTATTATTATGGAGGTTCGACTGTACCCCCCGAATGAGTACCCGGGTCGGAAGTAATGATTCATCTGATAAGGTGATCAGTTTGAAATTATTTTAACTCAACACGGCATTTCGTGTTACATTACGTTGACTACGTTACCAGGCTTTGTGTCAACCGTTACGCAAAGGTATTTTGATAAATGCGTTTGTTCAATGAATCCGAATTGCTTGGTTAGAACTTGGTAATAAACAGTAAGTGTATACTTATTGGGAAAGCAACGAGTTCGGGCATTTCATGCGTTCACTGTTCTTCATCTATTAACACGGCCGTCACCCTATCCGTTTATAGTCGCATTTTTATTACATAGCCTCATAATATTGGGTTCTTATAATCTTATTTTGGCAGTACTGCGCTGAATCAAGCCACAATCGTTGAGGCTGTGTATCAGAAAGAATTATCTCCGGGCTTTAATGGACAATACAATAAGGGAAAAATTTGGTTTTATAATCACTGACTGCCGGGAGAGGAAAATATCAACTTTTACTTATTTTTCTTCCTCAAAACCATTATTCGAACTATTACCATGAAAATTAACTTCCGGATAACGCATCTATTAATCGTTTTGATATTATTACTGATTAATGTAAATGTAGTAATATCTAAGGGTGGCGGAGGGGGTAAGGGAGGGGGAGGCAAGGGAGGTGGTGGGGGAGGAAGCGGAAGCGGAGGCAAAGCGCTGTCAGGAGGCGGCAGCGGATCTAGCGGCTATTCAAGCGGACCCAAGCGACCATGGAGTTTCTTTTACTATTCTGGTGGTAGACGGTATTGTGGCAATTGGTGCATTTTGACTTTCACTACTGGTGGACTCAGCGGACTAGTCGTGTTGTGTCTTTGCTGTCGTTGTACCTGCTTTCGACGACGGAAGCGAAGTAAAGTATCAATCGAAAATCCGGATGTATCGGTGATTCAAGATTTGTACAAACAAAGATTGTCGGCAGGCACACAACCATCAACACATCCTTTACTAAAGACTTATGCTGATAGTCAAATTAACGTCAGCAGTGATCTTCCTGGATACAACGTAGTTCCACCTGCACCGGAACCCATATATTGGCATGGAAAGAAAAACGAAGCTTCGCTAGAGTCGTTCACTGCTGGTGAGGAGTTTACAAGAGCTTACCCCCCTCTAGAGGTATTACCTCCCGCCGACCACCTGGAGCTCATTAAAAACAATGGTGTGCACGCTTGGAGATTGTCTTATGATACGAACGCATTGCAGAGCTTGGTAACTATTACAAAGGATGGTCTCGGTGCTAAATTTCACACGACAAATGATGTTGCTGTCCAATCAAACTACCCACTTTTCAGTTTGTCCGAACTCCAATCTGGCGTTCTACATTACTTTGAAATGACAATTCTTTCCAACGAGTCTCCTGATTCTACCACGATTGCAATCGGTCTCTGTACTAAACCATATCCCTCTTTCCGTTTACCCGGATGGAATCTCCACTCGGTCGGATATCATTCGGACGATGGACATAAATTCAACGATGCATATGGCGGAAGAGAATATGGACCCTCGTGGGGTGTGGTCGGAGATACTATCGGTTGCGGATATTCCGCGGATACCGGATTTGTGTTCTTTACAAAAAACGGAGAATTTCTTGGAAATGCATTTACTGGCATAAGACACGTATGGTTCCCGAGTATTGGCGCTGACGGTAAATGTGAAGTTGATGTCAACTTTGGATCGAAGACATTTGTATATTCAGGTGCTAAAGGTTTTGGTGCTAGCGGGCCAATAACAGAAGAGAAACAGTACTGAAATGTGATAGAAAAGTACAAACGCAATTAGAATTCATTTGTGTTGTTTTTTGTTGTAAATAATTAGAATATTTATGGTTTGTATGTTTGACATTGAACATTAAATAGCCTGTAACAGATATGATTATTATACTATAAGGAATGTTATTGTTTTGGAAGAAGACACACGCTCTATCGTTAAAATTGAAGCGATAAAAACAATTATGCAATGTACGCTAGCTTTGATATTTTCAGAATACGCTTTCGCGCTTGACCATTTCTTTCATCAATGATATAATTTTCTTCGTTTCTATCAATATGACACTTTTTCATCTGTCCCATAGTAAGAGACGTCGCGTACGGCTGTGTCACTCTTCTGTTTTGAATTGTATTACAGCTACAGTCACATCCTATACTAATACAGTCACACCTCCTATACAGTCACATGCTGTTTCGGTCCCTGCTATTTTCATAGTAATAGTGGTTTTCTTTTCTTAGAATCACAATCATATGTGAGCCACTGTCACCCGATTTTGGAATCCCACCACTATGTATGGAACAATATGAAAAAACCCCCCTTTACAGTCACTGGTATTATATAACATTCAAGGTTTAGTGTTTATATTTCCATATTCAGCATAAAGTGACCAAAAGATTGATAATTATGCATGTATAATTACACGATTGTTGCTTTAAAAATTAAACATGAGATTTGTGAATAGCAAACTAGTTTAATGAGAAATTTATACTTTCTATAGAGTATCTACTGTTAACAATAAAGCATCAATAACAAATTGACACTTACTTTGGAAATAGTTTTAAAAATTATGAGAGAAAATAAAGAATTAACATCAATGGTATTTCAAAAACGAGAGTTGATTATCTTTCTTTAGTATAATAAAATTTGGCATGTTCTAATAATATAACCTTAATCACATGACCATATGCAAACTCATATTTCCATATTTTGCCTGGTCCCGACGGTATGACTGTAGGGGAGGTCGACTGTATTACCGTTTAGAATAAGATAACCTATCTGATTGACATGTAATGTAAGGGAAGTTGAATATCAAGAAACGAATTGAGTATAAGGAGAATAATATATAGCACATATTTATTCTAGTGAACTTGCCGATAAGCCGTTTAATCGTGCCATACTAGTTTAGTATGCATAACATTATACATCTGCAAAACAAACTACATCTAATCTTTATAACGTGTATTCAAACCTTCGGTATTTTATTTTAATTTTTAATAATGAAAGCCGAGTTTTGGCTCTGCATACGTTAAAGACAGACTTGAAGGCGCAACAATTTTTAGTAAAACAATTGTTGTTGTTGTTAATATAGCCCACGATTGCAGACTATATTATTAATAAAAAAGCAAAGTAGTAAACAACCATGTGTGTCTGTCTTCTTTCTAAATTCGATAAAGTCATAGGTTGAAGTCATTATAGTTTTGTTATTTATCTTTGCGATTGTATATTAATATTAATGTTACCGAACATGTGAATCGTTCATCAAGACATTTGCAAACAACCGGCGGTACGCATATATGATTATGCAGCAAATGGCTGGTCCTAATTTCGCGGTTAATATTAATGGCCGGCCAAGGTAAGCATCGTTATAATTGAATTTGTAATGTCTTTTCTTTGTTACGCAGCAAAAGTCATTATTTTATATTTATTAACTAATGTTAAAATCCACAAGTTTACAAGACTTGCAGTATTTATTTTGTTATAAAAATATAACCTTCTTTTCCGGGGAATTGACATTTGTGTATGATCTATATACTTAGTAAACCAGTTATTATTATGCACACGATCGGGTACATTTTCTCCGGGATGTTGTGTATCAAGACCAAAGTACTACATCTGTGAACTGTTGATCATTAACATAGATGGAGAAATGTACATCCATAATTGGAATTTATTCCGCAATGAAATACGTACATAAAGAGTTACGTTAGAGTGGGCGAATTTTGCTCTCTGGATTAATGTTGGAATATTGAATTAAAACTGATTAACTGGTTACAAAGAACAAGGTTTTATTCTTGTTCCATTTGCCACTACCATTTTTCGCTTATTAATGCGGACATTGCTCAACTAAAATACATCTGCTTTGTTATATTAATAATTAATGCTTGATTTGATATGACCCTGAAATAGTCTAATTCCGATCGTTACACGAAAATATATTTTCATATCTTCGTACTCTTATTTTATCTTACGCTTTTTCGTAACACACCATAACGATGATAATACAAAGCTCTATTACAATAACACAATGCATTCTATAAATAAATGAGAAATATCATCGACTATTACAGGTATAATGCTATGATCAATGTACCTTAATCTACTGATCTCCATGCCGACGTAATAATACTAATACCCTGTTTTGTCAATCCTTACACAAACATAACATATGGCTCTCGTACTAATAAATACCGTGGGTGCTTTAGGTGAATTTATTCGATAACGAGCCAGGGAAAAGCCGGCAACCAACCAACACTCCCGACCGACCAAGCAAATAAATGTGTAGAATAAACAAATCGTAATCCTTCTAATAATCGTTAAGGCCCATCGTACAATCCTTTCGAGTTAGTGTTTGCTTGGCATTGCACTGAACACAGAGAAATTGATTTTTATTCTTGTATATTTTTAGTATAGCCTACGCCTATATGTAACCTACTCGTAACTTGTTCTTTATAAAAACCCGCCATCGTGTCAATATTCAAAGTTTGCACAAAGGATAGGAGGAAAAATGTCTTCAGAAAAGCTTTCGCAGTCAGAATTTAACGGGTCTACTACTGCGTCTGCTACTTCTACTAATACTACTACTGCGTCTGCTACTTCTACTACTACTACTACTACTACCACCACCACCACTACTACTACTACTACTCCATTTACACCCAATATCTCACCTATACCGCGAGCGGTATACAAATACTCTGATATAGACTGCCTCATTTCGCCGTCATCAACGAGCACATTAGCAGACGAATTGGCATACACGGACACTGAAGCACGTTATGAAAAAGAACGCTTTAATTACGACCGAGGATCGTATAATGCTATGCGTACAACACTTACTGACGATTCCGAGACAGATGTCTCTAACGGGGGCAATTCTGAAACAGAGACAAAAACGGAAACCAATCGGCCTGATATAGACCGATATGCCATATATCTTGCATTAAAGCACGATCTCTCCACTCATCATATTGACGAGAAGATATATAGTGAGAAAACCATTTATAATGACAATAACATTGCCCAACATTCTATATCCATCCCACCTCTCTCTTCATACCAGTCCAGACCGTTTGGACTAGTATCTCCCCACTTTCCACATCATTCTTCTAATCACCCTAGTTGCATACACTCCTATCATTCTTCTCCCGACTCGTCCCAATCTTTTTATCTTCCTGGCAATAGTGCCGCAAATTTGTTTGCCATCCCGAACGCACTACACACTACTATTGAATCGCGCCGCATAGTCTCAAAATGGCTATTCTTTCTCGGATTCTTGGTTATGCCTTGCTGGTGGGCGGGTGCAATATATGTTGCCAAAGAGCCGACACCCGATGATTATAAATGGAAAAAATTGTGTATTAGAGCAAGCGTTTGGGGAACTGTGGCACTTGCTGCTGTCGGGGTGATCTGGGTGTGTCTTCACCCGACTGTGTTTGGGTCAAGGTAGAGAAGATGGGCGTGCGATAGATAGACTTGTGTAACGAAAAACGTAATTATTAATCTTGTTTATTTATTTCTTTTGTATAAAATTTTGGTACCTTTCAACGTTCTTCTTTTTTAATATTAAACTTTTTGCTGTATATTATTAAATTAATGTTGACCGCTTTTAAATGAGAATCAAATTTTTTGGGTTAGACTCAATGTACAAATATGTCATACAGTCGGCATGAAACCCTTGTATGACATGAAGACTTGAATCTTAGTCACATGCCGTATTAAAATCGAAAGAGAGCATATATGACGCATTCCAATATCCCAGCAGCTTACAAGTACAATAACACGGAAAAGGTTCTATAGTTAGCACGTACTTTAAGAGTGTGTGTTGAAAGACGGGAGGAGGTGATGCCGGATAGTTCGTTAAATAAATTACTGATAAAACCGGACAAAAAGACTTTACCAGTGTTATCCTTGGCTAAGGCTTGTCAAACGTCGTACCTCGAATTAGGTCGATTCGTTTAACCTAACTCTCATAATTACTAATAAAAAATTTGTTACTAATGTATCACAATTATAATCCTTGTTTCGAACGATTTTTCAGACGAACCTTTGATTCTTCAATAGCCTTCTGATCAACATTGATTAGGATTGGAATACTTACCATTGCCATCGATCAGAAAAGCATCTTTGTACATAGCTTGTTTGTCCGTGAACTTTTGAATTTGGGTTCAACCCATTGCGTGATTATGATATCATGTACTAACTAGAAAAATATACATGGTCAACATTTGCAAGTTGTTCTCGAGGAATTCTTTTCCTCATACTCAGTTTTACTCACACTAATACTATTGAGCGTTATGTAATTCAACAGAAACTCGAAACTGCAGACAATGTTGTCCGGATAAAAAAGAAATAGGCAGCAGATCTAGAACTTACATTTAATATTAAATGATGTAATCGTCCACGAATAGATAAATTGGTTTGCTTCTTCTTTTATTGGTTCAAACCCGTATTTGGTATGAAATTAGTTTACAATTTTTGCGACGTTTTAACACACAAGAGTAAGAGATATATTATAACATACAGTAAGATGCATAAATAATAACCCCCTTAATTTGGGTAATTTGAAAGTACAAACTGTTGAAAATTTCAAACATCAAAACCGCATGTCGCTTATTTCGAAGTTAAAAAACTCAAAAATCCTTATCTCCACACGTTTCTAATCGATTTGCTATAGTGCCAAATCTATCTTTGGGATATACAGCATGGTGAAATCGTTATTCTTATATGCAGGAAAATTTTCAAAGCGTTTGTCCAAATTACGGGGGTTAATTACTGATGCAATCAGTCCCATTATCCTATTGATATGTCTTCCTAACAAATGTGTAATTATTATCAATATTATTGATGTTCCCAATTGTAGAACGAGCATTGCCAACAGCAGTATTGACAACTTCATGCATAATTAACCCGGTAGCTTCATCCTTCCTTTTTGCATTTTCTCATTGTCGGTGAATCTGGCTTTGCCTGGTCAGTGTCAGTGTCTGAGTCAGACGAACTCAATTCCAGAGATGCAGTTTTACTGCTAAGCAGAGTGCTCTGCGCATATCTGATCCGCCTCTAAAGATCTAATAAGTCCCGGGAAGATTAATCAAAACCGACTGTTGCCATTTTGGTTGTATATTATTATCTGGCAATTGATTATTTGGGTTTCCATATATAATCGAATGGCTCGCAAGAACAAATCGAAAAACAACCGACGTTGTACTCAGGGCACTATTTTCAGTTTTATGATAGGGCAAATACGATCATGTTATTGACGGAGGGTTAACAATAGCCGTAAACAGGTAGACATGAGATATTTAATTATGAAGAAGTATGTCAATATCTATCATATAGTTAATACTACGAGCGTTAAAGCAAAAAAAAAAAGTGATTAAGGATTATACAAATCTATGATTTCGGCTACTTCTGCATCTGCTTTATCATAGATTTGAAATGAATTACTTTATCCCGTGTCTTAATGCTTCTTGGGCTATCGTCATGGCGTGAACTAGATTTTTGGCCCTGTGCTTTCTATACTGCGCCCATTTTGCCCAAATAATGCGGAATAAATCCATAGGGTTTTAAACATTTATTAAGCCGTTTAGCTCCGGGTTTACCTGGATTCTCAAGTTTCCAAGATGATATAGCATTCTGTATCCAGGTTAACAACTCTTCAACGCGTTTTTGATTTTTATCAAGAGACCTAAATACTCGTGGAAACGCTTTGAATTTTCTCTCATATAGGCACAATAAATTATATTACTCATTTTTCTGATTGGTTCTGAATCACAGGGTGATGCCAAAAGTCCGTCATGGACAATAAAATCGTCCCCTCCTCTTTCACTCAATACCAAACCTGCGCATAGATATAAAAGAGACTTTATTGATATGTTATAATACGTATCTATGGTAGAAATTTTGCTATATGCTCGAAACTTGTTTGACGTGTTGTAAATTATGTTTATGATAGTCATTACGTTCTATGACGAAGTTGGTCGTCATTTGGTTGGACAATTCCATTCCGTTTTGAGAGGTTTAATAAAGAATAAACTAGAAAAATCTCATAAGCGAGGCTAAGCCACCGATCATCAGAAGTAGAACTAAATCAAGAAATTTTAGAAGACGATTTCTTTATTATTATTGATAAAGATTTTCCTTAAACACACAACTTTTTTTACTCTTTTTTTTTTTTTTAAACCCCCAACATTTTCTATACATACTACTTTTTTTTACCATTACACACAATTAACAGAATTGTATTAGATGATCGTGTATTGCCGAACCCAAAAGCTTTAACTACATTTAGCAAGAATACATGAGCATCCTTTTTAACCCTCAATATTAATATTAATATTACGATGGCTGTACATTGTGTGACAAGGCAGGTATTATTTTGATGAAATGTCCGTTTTTTGTTTGCTCGCACCCATTCTCAATAGTGTCTTCTGCTGTGACTTGCCG